TCCGTTACACGCATACAAACCCAGTAAAGACATTCATCTTGTATAGCCAACAATGAAAGCACAGTATGAAAATAATGTGGTTGCATGGATATTTCTGGCACCTCCTTGGGCTTGCAGAACTTGTATTGCTGCTGCTGTTGCTGATGAGCAAGAAGGAAAAATTGAAAATGGCTTTTGGATCTTAGGATGAGTTTTGAATTATGGTCACTCTACAAACCATCTTTTAATATAGCAGTGAAACTTTGCATTTAATTATAATACTTTTGAATATTCTCAATATTCATACAAATATCCAGTCTTCTTTTGAACCTTTCTAAGGTCTTGGCTTTAGTGTCTTTGTGGCAGTGAATTGCATTGTCATAAATATGCATTATTTTTCATTTTTTAATTTTCTGCCCTTTTCATTTTCTATCCTCTAGTTCTTAAGCTCTGTGGCAGTTTTCCTTTCTAAAGTAAATGATCCCAACTTTTCCATTCGCTCTTAATTTGAGGTTTTCACGTCCTCAGTCATCCTCATCACCCTGAACTGAATCCTACTGAATTTTCCAATATCCTTTTTGTGATGGGATGGCCAGTCTCAGTGATCTAGATGAGGCTTTCTCATTGATTCATACAATAGCATTATAATATTTTCTGTATTGTACTCAGACCTGTTTCATTTGCATCCTAACACTCTAGTTCTGTGTGACTGCATCTATGTGTTGAGTGAAGCACTTCATTGACTTTTCTATAGTCATGCTCAGGTCTCTCTTGTGAGCTAATAACTTTCACTTAAAATCTTGTTGTGTGTGGGCAGTTAATTTTTTCCAATTTGCATTACTTTGAATTTATCAAAATTGAACTTCATTTGCCATTTGGATGCCCATTAGTTTAAGTAAGTTCCTCACAGTCTTCTCTAGTATTGTGAATTGTGAAATGGTGTATTCAGCATTCGGTGTGCCCCTGGCAGCTGCAAATAGCATAGCAGGCTTGGTCACCATTTGGCACCTCCTGCTGATGGTGGTCTCTTGCCTTATAATTCAACCCTCTAGTCAGGTTACGTTCAGATCCATCCCTTCTGAGATAAGATTCCAACAAATAAACAGTCCAGTACCCTTATAAAAAGTCTTCGGCTTTGTCCCTGGGTCCTATAGGACTAGTGCTCTCTAGGCTCATGGTTTTGAATGTCCTTATATCCTTGCATCATGCCACCTTTCCCTGATAACTAGTAAGGAAACCCAAGTTCCCCACTTCTTGGTTCCAGTCCAGGGACCCTGTAGTGAGTAGGCAAGATCTGCCTATTCATAGCCATCATTGCTACTTCCATGGGCTTTGCCGTGGGCTTTGTTTAACTTCTTCCTTGGTCTTGGCTTTTCACGGCACCAACTCTTCTGCAGGTTTCCAGCTTCTGATATACTTAAAGACTCTCTTGTATATTTTTACAGCTTCAGCTATTTACTCTTCAAAATTCTTTTTGTCCTTTTTAATTTCCTTCTCATATATTGCCTGCTGTTCCTGTTTATAAGTTTCACTAGGGTTAGATTTACAAATCTGAAGGATTTCTCTCTGGTTAAAATATTCTCTTGAAGCTACTCTTTCCTTCCTTGTAATTTTTTTATGTCATATACATGTGAATAATACACAGACATGAATACACATATGCTAACTCAGACAGCAAACATATATTTAATATATGTATGTGCTGTCGGTTCTCTTAGGGTACACCTACCCTGCAGGCTCAAGTCGAGTTAAGATTTGCAACTTCAGCTACATTAATTGTGTAGCTGAAGTCAAAGTACCTTAACTTGGCTTTTGGCACTGTCTACATAGTAGGAAGTCATAGGAAAGAACACTCTTCCTTTGACTTTCCTTACTCCTTGTGAAATGAGGGTTACAGAAGTCAGAATAAGAAGCCTATTATTTCAAAATTATTAACATGAATTATTTTCATGATTCTATTTTCTATGATTCTATGATTTTGATATAACAGTGTGTGAAATAATTTCAAAATAATGGTTTCTTACTCCAACTTCTGTAACCCTCGTTTCACAAAGAGTAAGGGAAGTTGAAGGAAAGTGTTCTTCCTTCGACTGCCTGCTGTGTAGACAGCACAAAAAGCCGAGTGAGTTATTTCGAGTTATTTCAAAATAAGTTTGCAGTGTAGATGTAGCCTTAGAGAGAAACATGCCAAATGCAGATAACATGTTACACAGCTACAAAATATCTGAGTATGTGTGAGACATATATGGTGTGTTTGTGTGTGTCTCATGGAACACATTAACTAGATGTGTCATGTTCCCTTTCAGCAGCTGATTCCGATATCTGCTTTATACCAGTGGACCATATTTGCAGATTAGATGTGGATACAAATTTTGTATACATACAGGACTCTAAAGATAAAACCTGCTAAATTCTAATTTTGCAAGTTAATGGCCAAGGTCAGCTAGTATACTGACTGAACCTTAACTGTGAAAATACTACCAGTGCTTCCATAACAATCAACTTCTGGGGGTAAAACAAACGTATTTTATGTGTTAGTGTAATCTCAGTCACCCACTTGTGACAGTCAAGGAACAGTGAGTAGGTCACCCTAATGATTAAAGACTAAAATAGTATTTCACCCTGGCAACTGAAACAGTGGAAGTGTTTTATTTCTTTGTGCTTTAGCCAGTATGATAGTCTCCTATTGCCTATACAGGAGGAATATTTCTGAAGAGTGTTCCACACTATTGACAGTCTTTTCTTTCAAAGGAATAATACACTAATCCCTGTACTGTGGGATGCTGCGACAAATCTATAACATTTCATAGTATTCTCTAAACAGCTGATGTTCCATGTTCTAGAGCACTAAATTGTGGTTTGAAATTGGTTACCTCATGTGTAAATAAGACTCCTATATGGGAGGGATAGCTTAGAATAAAGAAATGATATTGACATAATACAAGTAACTCTTTGCTTATATTTAAAGCCCTTGAATGTTTATTTGAAAAACAACATTTATTTATTACTTGTGCATGTGTGCATACATGTATACAGATACAGTTCCTGTGTACGTATGTGTATGTATATGAACACACACTTGCATTCCTTTTATTCCTGTCTAGCTGTTTAAAGACACGAGTAAAATTGTTTGCTTCCTCTGCCCAAGTGCTTGATGACCACAGGCTACTTTAGTTGCTGTGCTGCAACATCACATTAAGCTTTCCTGCAGCTTAGTGAAGGAACAGGGAGATTGTCTTTTCTGTTTTTTCTGTCCTCAAAATAAAATTTTATAAACAGTTCTACCTGATTGGTTGGATAGGTCTGAGTCCTGTTAAACACTGTGGGTATGTCTAGACTGCATCCCTCTGTCGGCAATATCCCGTGCTTAATTTGCATAAAAATGGCCACAGTTTTTGCCAACTCAGCACTTTGTCAGCAAAAAGCAGCAGTCTAGAGGGGGATCTGTTGAAAAAGAAAGCCTCCTGCAAGGAGGTTTACAGGATCTGTCGAAAAAGTCGGGTCCCTTTAAGCACAGCCCTCGGCTAGCCTGAGACGGCAGCTCCACGCTCTAAGTCCTAATCTGATGCCCTGCCGGCACTGCTTCCGGTCATCCTTAACCTCGGTTCAGGGTCCACTCAATGTGGACATGCTAGTTCGAATTAGCAAAATGCTAATTAGAACTAGTTTTTAGGTCTAGATGCACTAGTTCAAATTAGCTTAGTTCGAATTAACTAATTCGAATTAAGTTAGTTTGAATTAGTCCTATAGTGTAGACATACCCTTAGAAACCTAAATTAATATGCAAGATTAACTATTCACACTGTTAAAATGATATGAAAAATACATTAGAAGAACATGAATTCCTTTAGGTCAAAAGTAGCCTCATTTTCATATACTGTTTACATATTTTTATGACTGACCAGACAAATAGTTCATGTAATTTGACATATTTTACCTGAAAAGCAAGTATTCAAATTTCTTAGCTGATATGGTAAATGTTATCTGTTCCAGGAATGGAAATAACCTCCCCCCACTGTACAAATTACAGGATAATAGTGTGGTATGTTTTCAATCTGGCCGGACCTGCATGGATATGTCTCTCCACACTAGCCTACCTCCCTTCCAAATAGGCTCTTTGCATAGTACAAATTAATATGTATTACTTAACTGGTGGGTATTACCAGTTCCTTTAGATCTTCTTCTGTGTCCCAGGTAGATATGTATTTCAGTACTATAATTTTGCTGCTTTTGGACATACACCTTTGTTAGTAGTAGGCCTAGCTGACCGCCATGTAAGGGCCAAATGCATTACTTAATTTGGTCAAAACTTTAGACTTTGCTGTTGTAAAAAATTAAGGATCCATATTTAGTATTTTAAAAGTAGGTTTAAAAAAAAAAAAAAAACATTGTTAAATAAAATGATTCATGAGAAGTATATACACCTGTCTTTGAGGTGTATCTCCACTAGGGAGTTAAAATGCGGGTAATTGTGTAAATGTGTAATGGTTACACACATCTGCAGCCAGCTTTCTGGGAGCCAGTGTGTGCTGCTCTCGAGTTGGTTGCCAACCTGCACCGCTGCTCCTGATACAGAGGAGCAGGACAGGAGCCTGCGTTTAACTGTGAACATTAACTGATAAGCCTGGGCTTATTGGTTAACCATTACATGATTATATGGTCACATTCCTAATCTCTACTACTATACATGTTAAAATCTTTATAAATGCTTAAAGAAATTGCACGTGTCTAAACAGGATAATATGACTTTTAATGAATTAATGCCATGTACTTTTTTTAGTTTCAAAATTGGAACACCTTTGGGCTATACAAATATTTTGATTGTTACATAAAATTGTAATTTTGAAAAAATAGCCAAACCAAATGTTTTACTATTGAAGGCATTAGTTCTTCCATGCTGAGAATTTGTCTGCCAGCTTTCATTCAGCACACATTTTAATATCTGTATTGGTGTAAATTCTTATGGTGAGATTCTACAATGAAAAGTGGATAGGTAGAAATGCTTGCTCCTTACTCCACAGATTGGCTCCCTCTACACATTGTGTTATATCTGCTGACTTTGATAACTATGACCTCAATCCTGTACATTTAACTGTGAGTAGTTCCACTGACTTCACTTCAACTGTTAGTAGCTTTAACTCTCATGAAAGCCAGTGGAAGTTGAGCATGTGTAACCAAGGAAATAGTGTAACTGAAAGTGCATGCATTATATTTTACTCTGTTAGTACTGCAAACAATAGAGCAAAAAGGTCGTTGGATTATTTTGTGGCTCAGGCATCATAAAGAAATTTACACATGTGCTTAACTTTGTGCACATGAGTATTTCCATTGGAATTAAATATTCATGATGCATAAAATTAAGCATGTGTATGTCTTTGCAGGGTCAGGACCTAACTTACATCTGTGCTCAGTTCCTCCCTGCAATCCTGTTGCCTTAAATGATTTGCACAAATGTGAACTGAGTTGACCTTAGCAAACAGCTATAGTGATGCATAAGAAGAAATAGAATCCAACCCTTCCTCTCTATTTATCTGTGTTTGGTTCTGCAAGGCTAAAAGGAATGAAGACTTATTTTTAGTACAAGTCAAAAGTTAGGACTTTGTATATGTGTTGATTGCAGTTCATGTAATAATATGCCATTGCATTAACTGAACTCAGGTCAGCATTTGGTTTGCAGAATATTTCTTCTTGGTAGTGAAGCATATATCAGACACATCCTAGGCTGTTTTGTAGAGATCAGTCTGAGTTTGCAGACCTGGCAAATCAGTATGCTGCAGTAACCATGGAACCCCATCATGCCTTCTTTGCAGAGTCATTTTTCAGAGCACTACTCTTTAAAAGAAGAGAGTTTATGTACAAAGATGCTTATTAAGCACTGTAGAGGCGCTTGTTTGCTATAAATTTATATAGTGTACATTATAAAATAACTTAATTGTTTTTTATAAATCAACGGGATCAAAAGAAGAGACATTTTCTGTTCTTTTCCCTAATACCATGTATAGAAATGTTTTTAGCTATTCTGAAAAGCTCCCTGCTATGAGATGTTAAGAATAATATCTACCTGATCTTTTATGGAATCAGATAAATGCCCAGTTTGTCTTCTTTTTTGGGGTGCTTTATGGAACATTGTTTTCTTTCTTTTATTGAAGCTTTGCTTTGCAAATTAATGTAGTTAGTTATTTGAGTTTGTTCTTAGTCATAATGCACTATACTTAATAATGATTAAGGAACTCAATTCCTTTGTTCAAAAAGCTTGACATGTATTTGCAACATTTACACAGTTTTTTTTTCCAGACCAACATACGATGACATGCCATTTCCCATCTCTCCAATGGCTCCCCGGGATGTTTTCCTGCTTCCAGAAGAGAAGGAGAAAAAGGTGGTAAGAAGCAGACGGGAGATACCTGGCACAGACAGTGAATCCATTGTTAAATCATGCTCCCCTTCTCCTTGCAGATCTCAGGAGGGCATAAAGTTGATTTCTGTGCCAGAGACATTTATCCAAAAACTAAAGAGGGGACAGGAACACATCTTAGAAATATCCCAGCAAACTTTGGACATCTGTAACAGTGTGAAAAATCATAGACTAACTGATGGTGCTCAAATTGCAAATAGTAGCCATAGTGGCCAGTTTACAGCTATGAGCCCAGTATCCCACCATTTGCCTACTACCCCTTTATATCACAGGTCTCCTGTTAACCCTGTAATTGCAAAAAATATTAGGTACTCAGGAACATCAAATTTGATTTCGAATAGCAGACATGATCACATGCAGAAAGATGTATGCCATAAGGGGGGATTATTAAACACAAATGCGAATCCAGTCCACCTAAGGACCGCTTCATTTTCACATCAGAGTCCTACCTGCGGCCAAGGCAACTCTCCATATATTATCTCAGGTCAATCTTTTTTAAAACTAGATGATTTGCAATCTCAGGATGAAACTTTGGTGTCTGACTTCTGTCTCAGGGACCTTGTGGGTACTAGCAGCTCACTAAGTTTTGGGGCATCCCCACAATTAACAAGCTACAAAGACATCAAGGTAAACAGAGGTGATGAAACTTCAGTAGATGAGATAATTGAAGAAGTCATTTGGAAGTGCTGTCATGGAACTCTACCTAAAGAGTTGTCTTGCAAAGATGAAGAGAGTAATTCCTATTTAAATATTCCATCATTTCTGGATCACAGTAGCTTAGGAGGCTCAGAAATGAGTTTTGATTGTGAAGCACCTGTTTGCTTAGGGGCAGGTGTACCCAAGGTAATTATAAAAGATATAGAATTCCTAAAAGAGGTCCAGGTAAACCTGGAAGATAGGAACTATGGAACCCAGCTTAATTCTGTTCTAAAAGGTGGTTCCGTGGAACAAGCAGAAGCAGCAAAACAGGATACAATAATTCATAATGAGGAACCAGTTCTTCCAGCTCTGCCTCATGTGCCTCCTTCCTTTGTGGGAAAGACGTGGTCCCAGATAATGCATGAAGATGATATAAAAATTGAAGCACTTGTGCGTGATTTCAAGGAAGGGCGCTTCCATTGTCACTTCAATAGTGAACCATCAGCCAACTGTACAGGGAAGAGAATGAGAAGAAAGAAGCAGAAAGATGAAAAAAAATGTGACATTGTTATTGATAACAGAAGAGAAACTATTTCAGTTGAAGCATTACCAGAATTTAATGATGCTACAAGTGGTGGTTCTGATTTTGATAACCTGTTGGCCTCAGATACACTATGCAACACACAGACACTTCAGATGCCTAGAAAGAGAACGTGGCGCCTTGCTTCAAGATGCCAAGTGGTCAAAGTCAGCCATGGAACCCAAACCAGTTTAGTGAGCTATCCAGTAATAAAAAGAAAAACCATTAGAAAGGAGTCCGATCCACCAAATCAGAAAGAAAATGCTATTTGGTCAGAGTGTGAAAGAATTTCAAACATGAAAACTAGACTATGTGCCCTGAAGCTTCCAGAAGCATATACCAAAATTATGAGCCCTCTGCAGCCCAAGACAGTGGTATATGTCCTTTCATGTCCAGAAATTAAACAATACAAAGGCAAATCCTTAGATGTTCCCAAAATGAAGAGAAATCACAACTCCACAGAGAGCAAGGATTCCGTAAGGTACATATACAAACAATGTTCTCTTAAGTATTATGATCCACTGACAAATCGAATTCTGAAAACACCTCCCAAGAGCACAGTTAGAGAAAAAGCCCCAAAGCCCTCCCATGTTCGACAACTATTCAGGAGCCAAAGCCTTGATGCAAACACGAAGAAACTATCTGATATGCTCAAAGAATGTACACCATCTAAATCCTTCAATTGGCCAGACTTCTATAGTTCATCTTCAGTGGCTTTCCTGTCAGATCCAAGTAAAGGGAATGGTATGAACTCAAGTTTGAGGACAGATGTGTCTTCCACGACTATAGAAAGGTCTGGTTTTCAGGTATTTGGTCACTCAGAGAAGTCCTGTAAACACTTAGTCATTTCACCTTTCAATCCCTATCAGTCTCAGATAGAAGATGATGTTAGATTAACCCCAATTAATAGCAGGGTTGCCAAAACACCATTGAAGTCAATCAGG